TTTCCCAGTGAGCAAATAGAGGCTCACACAGAAATGTGCCCTCATGTGACCGGCACGCCGTCGAGGTGGCAGTCCCTGCCTGCTGCTCTGTGCCTGATGAGTGTGGGTAATCAGATGAATCCTGTCTTCTTGTAGTGACAGACGGGGTTATAATGTGGTGGCATTTTTTTCTTCCTTAAAATAAAGTGACCTTTTATGACTAAATGATGAGAAGTGGTCTCTAAAGGATCATCACGTCTCTGTGCTGTGTTTATGTCAAAGACTAAATCATGTTTTATGGAGATGCCTGTTAATGAAATCATTGTGCTAGCGGCTCAGTGGATTGGTGCACGGCCAGAGCCTCTGCCTGTGCTGGGGGCAGTGAAGGAACGGACTCGGAAGTGCGCCTCCGGCCCGGGCCTCGGTCCATTGGCTCTGCCTGGGCTCGGTGCTGATGGCTCCAGGTACCTCCCTCAAGCAAGTGTTCTGCGTTGCTTTAGAAATTTCTAACTCAACTCCTTGAATTCAATGGACCTCAATCTTTGTTGTGCATCACAGTTACACCTTTGTAAAGTTACAAATGTGGAGAAACTTGTCAAGAATTCCTTGGACAGTGCCCCTCTGGGTTATGGTTCCTGATTCCCTGATGGCAGGCAAAGTGAAATCCTTTTTTTTTTTTTAGGATTTATTTATTTTTATTTGAAAGGCATAGTTACAGAAAGAAAATTATTCTGTCTGCTGGTTTACTCCCTAAGTGGTCACAGCAGCCACAGCAAGCCAATCTGTAGCCAGGAGCCAGAAGATTCTTCCTAGCCTCCCATGTGGGGGCAGGGTCCCAAGGCTTTGGGCCATTCTCTACTGCTTTCCCAGGTCATAAGCAAGGAACTAGATGGGAAGTGGAGCAGCCAGGACATGAACCAGTGCCCATGTGGGATCCTGGCATGTGCAAGGTGAGGATTTAGCCACTGGGCCACCGTATCGGGCCCACAGAGAGGCACAGTGGTCCTGGAGGTTCTTGCCTCACACTGTCTGCATCCTTTCCTTGCTTTCCCCCTCCTTGCACATTCTCTTGATGAGCCTTCCTCAGCCTCTAACCGGGGTGTGTAAATTGACATATATAGGTGGCAGCTCTCTGGAGAGGGAAGAAGGTGAGAATAATACAACCCTTCCACTAAATGCTCAGACATTACCTCCCGAATTAGCTCTGGCAGAGCCGCCTCCAAGCTCCAGGTTCTAGGAAGAGACTCGGGTTCCTTTCATTAAGTGCACTAACTTGCAGGCTTGGAGTTTGCTGTGTCAAGGTGCGACTGTTCTTACGTGGGAAGAGGCACGTTGTTAGTCCTGTAGGGTTGGTGGCGTCTCCCTTCCAGTGCATCGTGTGTCGGATGTGTGCGTGGACAGGTGAGTAGAGCTCACAAGGCCCGGAGGCCAAGCACAAGTGCACGCCTACGTGTGCGCTTGGTGTCTTCAAAGAGGCTCTTTGTTACTCTTGTCGTGACCCGGGTCTCGGCTCACCAGAAAGGCCTGTTCTCATCACTGCAGTATCCATCTTTATTCTTCTTGTGACCCGTGCCTTCAGCAGTGCATCCACTTTGTGGACAGTGTAAGCTTTCCTAAGCTCTGCTGGAGATGCAGGCTTCACACGGCTCTACCTGCTCTCATTCCTTGGGAAATCTTTCCCACCACATGGAGAAGTCTCAGCAACATGATGCACACTGAGAGATGTGCTTTGCCCATCTCATCATTGTTCAGCCAGCCACCGGACAAGCAGGTGGAGGCAACTCCACTCCAGCCACTGAGCCGTCTCTCTGAACTGCGGATTCGTGGGTGAACTCCGTGAGGAATGTATACGCTGGTCCAGATCTGCAGGGCTGCTTCTGTTAATTTTCACTGTGGAGATGAGAGCTGTATCTGAGATGGCATAGCTTATCCAAGGCCACAGCATTCAAACCTGGAGGCTGACTTGCTCCTCCTTGTTGGTTAACCCTGACTGTGAATCTCTGCTCTGGGATGTGAACTTTCACTCCTCTTGCCAACTATTTCTGCCAACTGTTCTTGCACAACTGGTGAAGAATCTGCTGTTAGTAAATTTAGTTCTGTGGTGGGCACAGGAGCGCCTCTGATGACTGTGGGCAAATCACGGGGCATTTCTGTGCTCCACTGCTGCACTGTTAGTTCCCACTAACTGGACTAGTAGAAGAATAAATGATTGAATCTGTATGAATCCCCAGCCTCAGTGTGGGAAATTACAATAAGCACGGGAATTCTAATGGGTGACTTTTTTTTTAATTGGCATCTGTTACCAGCCTTATTCCTGGAGAATAATTATAGACAAAATTAGAAAGTCAGTTTCAATATCTGAGGTTAATTTCCAAGTTCCTATAGTAAGGGTCATTAATACTGACAAATTTTAGTAGTGATGGTGGTTTTCTAATACATGTTACCTAGCCTGTGTCAGATAGCATACTAAGACATTTGTATTCTGAGTTGGTTAGTCCTTGTCCCAGCCCCGTGAAACACGTGGGACTGTTTTCATTTTACCTGTGGTAGTGCTGAGGCTCTTGTGGCCACAGAGCAAGCCAGGATGCCTGTCTTGGTGGTCTGGCCAGTTCAGCCCATGAAGGAATTAGAATCTAACCAAGGGAAGGGCGCCAGCCTCAGAAGACTCTGCTTAGTGGTAACTTCGTGTGGGTAGGACACTGGGGTAGCCCCTTCCAAATGGTGATGTGTTTATACATGGGTGATGTCGCTGCCTCCAAGCTCTCCAGCCTTGGGACTAGGAGGGTGCGCATCTCCCACTGGCTGAAGATTCCGAGGAACTCATCACTCAGTTGAAATCCTCCAGTTGTTGAGGGACCACATTGTGTGTGAAGGCTCTGCCGCCAAGACATCCTTGGTTTTGATGATGCCATGCTAATCGTCTAGCATTAGATTTCAAAAAAAAAAATTGTCTTTTACTTTATTTGAAAGGGGATAGAAGGAGAGAGAGAGAGAGAATGAGTAAATGAGTGAATGAATGAATGGGCCAGGCCAATATTAGGAGCCTGGAGCTCAGCCTAGGTTTTCCACGTGGCACACACTGCCTCCCAGGAGTTGCATTAGCAGGAAGCTGAGTCAGGAGCCACAGAATGAGTCTCACACTAGTCGCTCTGAGCAGGGCCTGGGCTGTTGCAAGCAGTATGCTGAGCACTGTGCCAAGGGCCCCTCCCCACTCTCCGCACTTGCGCTTTTTGACTGGAGTATCTCTAAGCTTACATCTGTAATGTTGGTAATAGAATTTTAGAATTTAAGACAACAGACACTCTTAAAATGCATTTAGGCCCAAGACCATCTCAGAGAAGGTTTAACCTAATGAGAAGGATAAAGTTTTTTTAGATACTTTGGAAAACTCATTGCCTACATCTAACTAACATTTTTTGGAAATCAATTTTTAAATCTGTTAATTAAACAAAATCTATAACTAGGTCCAAAATCTGTTAATTAAACAAAATCTATAACTAGGTCCTAAGCCTATTTCTTGGTCACAGTCTAATTTTATGTGTTATGGGCTCATGCTTTCTAAAAGGCTCGTTGAAATAGATTTTAGATAGGAAGAACTTAATTACTAGAACAGGAAGATGTTAATAGAACTTGGAAAGATGCGGCATCACCGAGATTGCCAAAGGGTTTTCGGAGTCATCTCCATGCTGGTGCCTGTGAGGACACAGCACAGAAAGTAGACAGCTCTGCAAATCCACTCAACCAAGCAAGCCCGAGGGTGGGATTGGGCAAGCCATGGCTTGTAGTTCAACCCAGCCTGCATCTGCTGTTCTTTACCCCATGGGCCAATCACAGAACACATGCAGTGTGTATCAGGTGGCAACTAAAAATGAGGCAGTATAACTGTGAGAGCGGCTGAGTGGCTTCTACATGGCCTGCTGAATGGGGTCTACACAGCCTGCACTGCTGACTGTATGTGATGTACCTGCAAAGTAAGATAGTCTCCCACCTGAAGAAGTTCAAATGCTTGATGCTAGAGTAGTGGGGTCAGCACCCACCTCAGACCATCCTGTGTCTCCAGCTGCACAGTGGCTCTGCAGGATTCCTTCCCATGCTCACACTGTGTGTACACCCACCATCAATAGCTGGTTCTGTCTCAGCATCCCTTGAGTTAGACCTAGGCTCTGAGTTCTTAAGGTCTGCTGAGAGCAAAGCTGCAGAAGTTCTGGAACCTGCTATTCAGAAGCTGCACTTGTTGTCACCGTGGTCTGTGGGAGTAGGGACTGGGAGGGGGTGACCCTGTTCAGCCTGGCCCTCAAGCTCTCTGTTCCCAACAAGGCTCCCAGCCCCAGATGCCAACTGTTGTCATCCTTCAGTCCCACCTGAACAGAGCTTGTGGTTAAGAGATTGTGAGATAGAGCACACAGTTATGAGATAGAAAAGAGACATGAAACATCCTATAGCTGAGAGTTCACAGTTCCCCTGTCTGAATGGTGTTGACTACCAGCGGGTGTGACTACCAGTTGGAACTCAAAGTTTCATGCATCAAGTTACTAAAATACTAAATAACGTTCACACTGAGCACTTGGGCTGCGTGTCAGCCAGCCAGCTCACAGTAGCCACTGTCAGGATAGTTGGCCTTTGGGGGAGAGGCGTGTGTGTGTGTTTGTTTCACCGTTTTCTTCTGGAAGCCAAGGCTTTCCATCTGGTCACCAAGTGGGACAATGATTAAGTGCATCTTAGGAATTGCCTTCCTCACCGTGGACAGTCACCAGTGAGAGAACATGGATCACACCCCAGGGCCAAGAACCACCCAGACCACTAGCCAAACAAAACCCCTTTCTTTGTGAGTAGTTTATCTAAAATATTTCCTTGTAGTAACCAAAAAAACTGGCTCATGTTTCTAAGAATGGCTAGAAGTGTGATAAATGATTCTGCTTTCCCGGCATGCACCATGCACGCTGGCTTCTGATGGCTGTACTGGGGGGAGAGGGAGGAGAACTGCAAAGGGGAACAACAATGAAGAAACCTATTGCAGGAAATAAAAAAGTTAAACAAAGTATTTTATTGATACATTCTTGGACAATATCACAGAATCGAAAGAGAATGGAAAGAGGGGATTCTTCGGCAAAGGGTCTCTTTTTTTTTTCACTAAATTGGCACATAAGCAGCAAGAATAACCAAAGTACTGATGACAAACAGCAGAAAACATCCATGCTTTTGTGAGAGTCCTTGTCACACCGATCAGTCATGGGGCAAGAACAAAGGTCAAGACGTGGGGAACCCATAACCTGGCCCTCAAATAGCCTGACGTGACTAAAGTTATTGCAACATATCCATTCTGTAATTGAAAAGAACAGAAGGTAACACAAGTACAAATATCGAACATAAACCATTGACGTGAACTGCAAAACACGTTACTGGCATGCATCCCAAACAGTGAGACCTCTGCTCGGCTCACCCAGACCCGCCTGCTGGGGCTTCCGTCACAGACCCGAGATTGGTGGGGCAACTTTTCTCAGCACAGTTGTTGGTCTTTGAACACCACCCCCGCTTTTTTTTTTTTTAAGAAAAAAAAATAACATGATTTGCAGTGGTGCTATCATCGTAATCACATAGTTGTATACGGATGCAGTTTTTTTTTTCAATTTACTGAGATCTTTTAAAATTTGTATGTGTTTCAGCATTTCCCCCTCTGTTGCTCCATCCGAGAGAATAGGGCTTTATGAAAATAGGGCATTCAAAAACAGTGAACCGAGGTACGACATTGAATGGCAAAGTGCAAAAGTCCTCACGAGCTGTACAGAAAATCTCAACACCTTGCAGCCTGGAAGTACAGATGTAGAAAGACAGAGCAGCCCCAAAACGGTTCTGTGGTGCCCAGGTTTTGTCCCAAAGAGCCTGGGTGGGACTGGAGTCTCAACACTCCCTTGGGAAGGGAAGGTTCAGAAATTGCAGCCGAGTTGGCAGTGCTGTTGCCAATGACTTATTAAGCCAAGATAAAGTAAGGGTGTTTCATAAAGCAGCTGTTTAGGACACATGGATCCTCTATGTTGGACTCCCGGCTGGGGAAGCTCCTCCCGGGATGGGAAGCAGGCAGGACCAAGAGATTCCTCTGCCAGGTGGGTGATGGAAGGGCTGAGGGCTTTACCCCTCCACGGTCCCATGGAGTGGAACGGGTTAGATGACCAGGTTGTTGTAGCTGACATACTTCTTTTTTGCAGCAGGGCCTGAAACAAACAAACAAACAAAATTCAGGCAGGGTTAGTTGTAGCAGTGACCCAATTTTCCAAGCAGCAGCCAAGTTAGCATGGGCTGATCCGAGGTGCCAAGTCAGGGGTGGCACACCCACACCTCTCTGAGCCCCTGACTGTGGCCACACATTTGTCTCCACAAACCAGGTTCCGGTGATGCACAAACCACCTAGATTCTCTTTGCTTTAGTGTCCTCAGTCGCTATCTTTATGGTCTGCAAATTTGGAAAATTGGTCAGTGATAGTCAAGCTTTCTGGCTAGCCAACTCTAAACTGGTACAGTGTGGGCCCCTGACTGGTACAGTGTGTTCTGTTGAATTCTTTTTCTCCAAGACCTTTTTCACAACCTGTGCTGGGGCACGGCCTGTGTCCAGTCGGTGACTGTGGACGGACTCTGCCCGGCCGTTCTCAGCTGTTAGTCATTCACAAACGCTGGTTTGCCTGTCAGCATGCACCATTGGTGTTGGTTCCTTGGATGCAGATGAATTTGTGTTTCCATTTGGCACAGTGATTTCTGAGACCTGCTTCCATTCACTCCATCAGTCATTCAGTGAATGCTCAGGAGGGGCAGTCACCTTCGTTTACAACAAACGTGGGCTTAGGCACTCATGCCCCTTTCCTGTCGTAGTACAGACACAGGTCCCGGTGCATAGCCCTGCTTTGGATTCCAGTTCTCAATACCCACCCACGAAGGAGCTGGTACGTGGTCTTCATGAATGGCTTCTTAGGCCTGCTTTTCTCAGGCTCTAAATAGCAACAATTCCTCCAGAACTTGTTGGTGGGACCTCATGTATAATTTCAAACATTTATTGATTCACTTATCTGAGAGAGAGTGAGTGAAAGTACCCATTTGCACTCTGTGATTCATTCTCCGAAGTGCCTGGAGTGGCTGGGACCGCGCTGAGTGCTGGACCAGAGCTCAGAGCTGGAAGCACAGCCCAGGTCTTCCGCGAAGGCGTGTGCACCCAGCCACGTGGGCCCTCACCGCTGCCTCCACGGTCTGAATACGAAGGTCCTGGAGACCAGAACTGGAGACCTCATTGTGGTATGTGGGCATTTTAACCGCGAGGCTAAGTGCCTTCCCCATGAGTGGTTTTAAAGGTCCAAAGATGCTACATGAATACTCTAAGAATTGGCACCTGGATTTTCTTTCAGTCTGTTCTAGAAGCACAAATGAGCTTGGGCAGTAGACCATCAGGTGCATTATATGAACTGCTGAGTCGTTCTTGATCGGAGGTTGGGACTTTCGGGGCTAGCACTGTGGCATTGATTGTGAAGTTGCCACCTGTAATGCCATTGTCCCATATGGACACCTGATGGAGTCCCCACTACTCTGCTTCCAGTCCAGCTCCCAGCTGACGCTCTGGGGCAAGCAGGGAAACATAGCCCAGTAACTCTGCCTTTAAAGTACAAAAAAAAAAAAAGTAAATTTTTAAAATATTAGGGCTCTCCTGCTGATGTTTTGATTAGAACACTCATTTCATATTAAATCGTGCTGGGATTATGACCTTAAATGGAAATACTAGTGTGGCATGTGTCATCTCGTCCCCAGTCATGAGGCTGGATGGGCAGACACATGACCTTGACATACTCGTGTGTTCTAAAGTGCTCTCTGTTGTTATCTTCAGCCATATGCCTGCTTTGGCTGCAAGAAGAAAGCTGCCCGACGATGCTTCTTTTCTCTGAAGCTTATTTGCAGGCCAGCGGCTGGCAGCCGTGGGCTGGCAGGGGATGGAACGGGCTCAGTGTGCCTTGTCAAATGCCAGCACTCAGGAGACGCAGGACAGAAGTGGGCAGAAGCAAACGGGAAAGCACAGGCTGCTCCTGACCCTGGTGTGGGAGGCTCTGCTTTCTGTGTCATGAAGACTGTTTTCTCTATAAAGCATGATTGTCGATTAGAAGAATCGATGGTGTTGGATTTACTCACAGATACTATACAGTGCTAGCTGCTTAGGACAAGTTTTACCATGAGAGTAAGTTACAGAAATTTTTCCTTTTATTAAGTTAAAATGCAAAGAAAACGAGACAGGCCTATCTTTGGAGCACTGTGGAGATTGGAACACTGATGTTCTGATAGTACGCCGGCGTGCTCTCACCTCCTTGCACCATCTGGGGTGTGTATGATCTGGGGTCCCATGCACAGGGCCAGCACCCCAAAACCAGTCTGCAGACGCTCAGACCCGAGCTTCCCTTCGGTGCCTGTTTCGAACACCCTGCTGCAGCTTGAGTCCCCTGCCTGCCCAGTTTTGGATCAGTTCCAGTTCTTTGTTGAGGTGTGCCCCAGCCCTGAGCCAGGATGCTGAGTTGTTCAGAGACTTTGTAAAATAGGAAAGTGATTTTTTACCCTGTGCGTGTGGATATCATGAGTGTATGCAATACCCCAGTTTCTCATAGGGGGAATGTAATGCATAAATGTATTTTTAAATGACAAAGTTCTACACCAATGGAAAGCCTCAGTATGTGCTTTCTGGGAGGGACTGCTTCGGAACATTGCGGAAAAACTGTAATGAAGTTTGTGCTCTCCCTAAAATGGCTATTTATGTACTTTTCACAGCAATGCCCAATGTATTATAATGCTTATTTTTAAGCCATCCCAGCCTTATGAGTAAATAAGTACCCATGGGGTCTGATAATTCCATTTATTTTGAATATCAATGTACTTTATAGCCTAGGAAACAAAATTGCTTGGCTTAAAATAGTTTTCCAACGAAGTACTTACCATGGAAACACACTTTTGATTTTAAAATAGCTCATGGTTTTCCTGTTAGAAAGTTACAGATTTCAAGGAAGAGCAGATGGAATGGTGCAGCCCCCATCGATTGTTTCAAAGCCATCGGCACCATAGGTGGGGGAGCCTGAGTGTCTCCTTCAAACTGTCTCCGTGAAATGCATGTTAATTCTTAAGAAGAGGGTGTCCTGGGGGACCCTGGTGTTGGGGGATACCGGCCAGAGGCCCTTTGGCTCTCGTGGGGCAGACTCCAGCGCGCCCTGAGAGTCTTGCCATGTGGACACTTTGAAATGCCCTTTGACAATTTAGTGAGGCTTCACTAGTTTTCTGGGAGTCACTTTGTCTCGCAAAGTTCTCGATTCTGCAAGTGCCTTACTCTGTGACAGCCTCACGTCCAAGAAGCAAGGACGAGACGAAAAGTGCAGGACCAATAACAAAGCAGGATGCTTCATTCTGGCTCGCTGTGAGACAGCAAATACATTCAGTTCAACAGCGTGCTTTCCTCTTTTGTAAATGATAATTTTATTTTTCATTAGCTGTATACCCAGGCGTTCTCCAGAGCTTTTTTGTGTTAATGATTATCTATAGATGTCTTCATGCATAAATTTGTATGTGGAATGATTCAAGCATTTTACAACAAAGTGAAGACAAAAATAGTGATTGATCCTGGCCTGATCGTGGCACCTGCCAGAATGTTGGTGCCTCCCTGGGAAGCCCGTGAGATCCCAGTGGGCAGTGGGAGTGCCCCCTTCCCCTGCCAGGTTCTTCAGCCCTCAGCAACCCCTGCTGTGCTCCTGGATGTGGCGGGAGCCCCAGGACCATGTCATGTGTCCAGGCCACAAATTCTACCTAAGACTGTCACAAGACTGTGTTACGTATTTGCAGCTGGGCACAAGCGCAAAATGCCATCTCCATTTGCGGCCTGTGTTTTATGTAACACCGTGTCTTTCAAAATTATCTGCATTGCTCTGGTAATCAGAGTCCCTGGGTAGCTGTCTTGCAGTAACAGGAAAATGTCTATAGTGCTTTCTGTGGACAGACCCTGCTTTCCTGGATTTTACTTTTTTTCAGTAACATCCTGATGCTAAAAGTGGATAATATTTGAAAAACTGCACCATTGAGTGACAAAACTCTAAAAATTAGGAAAAATTATTTGCTGTAAAGGAAACTGATAAAGGATTAATATTCAGTTATTTTAAAGCATAGGCATACAAGTAAGTGGCTACTTAAATTATAAGAATATTCGATATAGCAGGCAATTTAAAGGTTAAGAACTACAAAGTAATAAAGGGAAAATATTCTGCGTCGGTTAGAAAAAGGTGAATTAATACAGACATAAGATGGTATTTGCTGCTCAGGTTGTCGAAAGCATCATCAAGTGCTGGCAAGGGGTAGAATGGCGGTTCCAGTAGACCGCACCTGTTCACCCAGAGTGGTGGTAGTCAGAGCAGCCCTTTGCAAATGCCCGGGAGTTACGTGTCTGGGTTCTGCCTGACACTCTTACAGGTGCCCTCAGAGACCTTGTTTCTCCCATGGTCCGGGAGCTCAGTGTCAGAGGGTCAAAGGGACCTCGGATGAGCCATTACAGAGAAGCAGGGCCCATCCGGTAGGCACAGGCACTGCGGGCTGTTCCCCAGGGTACTCCCGTTGTGCGCGTTTTTCTGCTTCCTGAGCACTGTTATGTTCTGCTGCCCTGTTGTTAGAGAAGGGTTCGGAATCATTGAAGGCATCCATCAAGAGAATGCAGGAGGCCAGACTGTCTCCAGACGGCCATTTTGTGACTGGTACCACTCATTGTATGTTGCAGCTCTTGTTCTACTCCCTGTCTTGAAGGGGTTTCTTTATACCGCCAAGAACAGACTTCAGGAACTGCTTCTTCTGCTTGCTTGCAGCGTTAATCATTTCCACGCTCCCCAGACTGGCACCCCTCCCTGCGTGCCTGTGGGCAAGCTCCCTCTCCCAGAAGCCCTGTGTGCCTCTCTATAATCCACCACACAGATTCGCTTGGTCATCAAGGGTGCAGCTGAAAGGGGTTCTTCACACCACTGCTTCCGATGAAGGAACCCAAGAGAAAGCCCTTTGGCCATGACCTCTGTGATCCCTAGCCCGTGTCCTCCCAAGTTCTCCCCAAAGTGGATGCCTGGCAGTGGCACATGCACATGACTGAGCCACAAAGGTGCAAAGCAGAGCAGGCATCAAGAATAGGATTACCAGGAAGAGAGGGTTTTACAGGCATCCTGCTCTGCTTG